TATTTAATAGAAACGCCACGGAAGGTTCGAGAAGAAGTGAAAAAATGTATGTAAAGTGAAACAAAACAACATGTTCCATGCGTGACGTTCCAAATTTGAATTTGTATTAATGAAACAAAAAATGGTTAGAATTTATTGCACACTGTATTTAATTAATAGTGACGCCCCGGAATGTTCGAGAAGAAGTGAAGAAATGTATATAAAGTGAAACAAAACATCATCCATGCGTGACGTTCCAAATTTGAATTTTATAATTTTATTTATAAATGTATTATATGGCGATCGCAAACATCCTCTAACATACATTTTCCTTAGTTTGGGACTAGATGGCGCTGTTTGAATTATTTGACTCTGTAGTATTGAATGCATTAAAAATGAAAATAGTAAGTCAAATAAAAAACATAGAGCGAAGCACATGTTAATAGATTCATTCTCCATTAGTGCCCCCATCATTACATAGTATAAAACAAAGTCGCTGTCGCTGTCCGTCCCTCATCATCTGCTTCTTCCTTATCCCATTTATTTGGGGTCGGCGTAATATGTTTTTCGTTTCCATTCATCCCTGTTCGCAGTCATCGCGTTATTTACTTCCTTTCTTACCATATCATCTTTCTCACAGTCCATCCATCTCTTTTTCGGCCTTCCTCTGCCCTTATAACCATCCACATTCATATGTAACACCTTTCTTAAAATATTACCCTCGTTCCTACGCATTACATGTCCATACCATGATAGACGATTACTCTTCAACCTCTCCGACACCGGTGCCACTTTCATACTTCCTCTAATGTATTCGTTCTTTATCTTATCCATTCTTGTCACACCACACATCCACCTCAACATTCTCATTTCAGTTGCATGCAGTCGTCTTTCATCCGTCGCCTTTACGGGCCAGCACTCTGATCCATACAAGACAGCAGGCCGGATCATGGCCTTGTAAATTTTCCCCTTAAGCTTAAGGGGAACACGCGAGTCACACTTCGTTGCCGTAACCTGCCGCCACTTCATCCATCCTACGTTAATGCTATGTATACTTAAATCGTTAAAACTACGCAACGGATTTTATAGATAGAGTGATTCAAGAGGAAGGTTTATATATATAATACATGTACACCCGGGCGAAGCCGGGGCGAGTAGCTAGTGTAGTTTATAAAAAAATCCATCTATAATACCTTTTAATATACGAGTATATATATTATGTTCTGAAACAATATATATGTATATTTGGTCAAGCGAGCATTGTAGACGAGATATCAGTGGTCATAAAAACATATAAAACAAAATATATTGGGGTAGATGAAAGTAGCAAAATGAATAACAATAGAAGTATAAAAATGCTATATAAGTACCCACTTTACATATTAAACAGCGACTGGTTTTGCTCGTGTGTCAGTTATTTTATTATCTTTTTATACTCTTGCATATATAAATATATATCTTTACTATATATATCGAACAACAGCTTATTGTTTCGTGACAGATCTCTAGCGATAGATAAATGACTGCTCGAAGGACCAGATTTTGTGCGAGTCTCAACGAGGTGGATGTAATCGTTGTAAATAATTATAAAAACACCAAATTGTAAATTAAATCGTAATTATATATATTTACTAGCTATCCTGGCAAACGTTGTTTTGCCATATAAATTAATAACGCTATAAAAAAATAGGGGTTGGTGATAGATGGGTGAAAATTTAGGGTTGTATATATTTTTTAATGACACATACTAAAAAAATATAAACAAAAAATTTTGGACAACCCTTATCACTTAGCGGTATAAAAAAGAGATAGTAGCCGATTCTCAGGCCTACTGAATATGCATATAACATTTCATAAATATCGGTCAAGCCGTTTGAGAGGAGTATGGTAACGAACATTGTGACACGAGAATTTTATATATAAGATTAAAATGTCGATATAATTAGCAGTTTAACAAAAATATTGGAGAACAGAAAAACAAATGACAATCGTAATATAGAAAACACAGCGTATTATATATAATACTAGCTATTCCTGCGACTTCGTCCGCGTGGAATATTTTCTAAAATCAAATAATTGTTCTAAAATAAAAGTAGTCTAAGTTACTCCTTATTATATCAGCTACCTGCCAAAAAAAGTCCCGTCCAAATCGGTCCAGCCATTTCAGAGATTAGCCGGAACAAACAAACAGACAGACAGACAAAAATTTTAAAAGTCTTTTTTTGGTGTATATGTCGTCTTTATATCCATATGCATGTAATTTAAAATGGTTATTTCAATATTACAAACAGACACTCCAATTTTATTTCTATGTATAGATTATGAAAATTTAATTGGGGAGGTTTTAATACCTATTTTTGTTGGAGTTTCCAACACTTCCACTCTTTCTCTATTCTGTAGTTTTTTTTTTCGGACTACTCTAATGCTGTTGACCGCAGCTGGCCTTTACAGCTTCACCGGACATAGGGGGCGAGTGCAGATGGCACTCCAAACCAAGGAATGACGTATGGAGCAGCTGAAGGCCAACTCCCGCCTGACGGATACGACTTTACGATTTAGTCTGAGAGCACCACTAGGGGTTCGAACCTCGGCTCAGGCCGTCGTAATATCGATCCCCATTTGAATTGGACGGGGGGATCGATCGGAGGGGGGATCTATTCTGTAGTAGGAGAGAGAGGTTTATTTATTAAAAATATATAGTGTGTTCTCTATTTTTTTTTAATTTATAAATAAAAATATTTATACATTTCTTGTACATCACCCCTGTAAAGAAGTCTATTTTTGTTTAACATAGCTTTAAAATGAAACTATTACACATTACTAAAATAAAATTAGATTGATTGAAAATAATTTAATGACTTTTCAATGCCACTGCATTCCTAAATTAATCCCGGAATCCCGGTAATATCTTACAGTAATCCTGAAATCCCGGGATTAAAGTAACTAGTCGGGATCGTATTCTCTAGTCCTGTTGTACCTTCATTTATAATATACATTAAATATGACATATTTATAATAAATATATAATAAAAGATATACCAAAGTGTATGTAATATATTTATATTTTATTATTATTTCATATGTATGTTAGTTTATAAGGTATTTGAAATAGGCCGTGTCGTCTGAATTAAATAATAAAAATATATATTAAAATGTACTTCTAACCACATCTTAGCTAGGGCGCATAAAAATTATAAATAATTTTATTATAAATCATATTGAATATTATAGTATTTTTTTATAATTATTCTTTAATTAAATTATTACAAAAAATACTTAGAAGTAGGGAATCAGAAGTTGCTAATTAAAAAATATATCATTATTAAATCTATTCAATAAAAAAACAGGTTACAGTAGTCAATAATATATTAAAAAATACATACTAATTAGAAACTGCTCCTTTTTATAATTCGTTTAAGACAGTAACATTTTTTATTTAATCAACACGTTGACACAACATTAAGATGAACAAGGAAACTGTACCCCGCACAAGTTCCAAGAAGAAATATATTATTAACAAGCATTGAAAAAGTTACTTCGCATATCCACCCATTTCCTAAAACTTTTTAATTCCTTAAAAGCTAATACAGACATTTGGAAAATTTTACAACGTGGGAATGCACAAGTTTCTTCACCAGATGGCGGTGTCCACGGCTCAGGGGTGTACAGAAGGGTTGCCACCGTACGAGGGTGCTTCTACGGGTACGAGACTTTTGATATTCAATACGAAGTATTTGGACACCTTCGTACACTTGTACGAGTTTCGAACCTACGGTTTGTGAGTAAATATTTGGCTGTAATCAAAATTTTGTGATGTAACATGACTCAATGAGAAAAGTACGTAAGTAACGACGTCAGATGTTAAACGTGATGTTTAATTGATGTGTAATTAGTTTGAACTGATATTGTATGGGATTGAATATCGTAATAAATGACTAGAGCACTACCAAGAAGAGAGGTGCTCTTAAATTATGAAAAAGAAGATAATATAGAAGAAATATTAGATTTTTTTGTATATTTATAAAATTTTAGACGTTTTTTTCTTTCACTTTATTTTTTATTCTCCATTGGAATACAAGATACGCTATTATTAATTAGTAATATTTAGAGATCCCTCCAAAAACTTCAATAATGTAACTAAAAGTATAAAAAAATACCGTAATTTTTTAATAAATATTTAATCTATAAAAAAAACTCCATTTATCTCTTAGTAATATGTGCCGTATTAAAAAAATCGAAACAAAGTTGAAGCGTCGTAAATTTAATATACAATGTAAATTTGAACATTAAAATTGATATAACTGTAAATAGTTTTTAATTTACTTGTTTTATTAGTATACTAGCTACTCGCTCCGACTTCGCCCGGTAGTACATGTATTATACGTATAAACCTTACTCTTGAATCACTCTTTAAAAAACAGCTTCAAAATCCGTTGCGTAGTTTTAAAGATTTAAGCATACATAGGGACAGACAGCGACAGCGACTTTGTTTTATACTATGTAATGATGGGGGCACTAATGGAGAATAAATCTATTAACATGTGCTTTGCTCTATGTTTTTTATTTAACTTACTATTTTCTATAATATATTCAATAATACAGAGAGAGAGATGCACTCTCCTTATTTATTATAATTACTTATTTAATAGAATTAAATATAATATAAGCACTTTTGAATAGTTACATGTTTTTATTCTACCACTCATTCGGGATACAGGTTCATCATAAGAAGAACGAGCAAGAAACTTGCGTGTTTTAATAAATCAAGTACCGCACCATATGTCCATCTAAAACATTAACTGTTACATAATGCTTTTAGCTTTACTCCATAAACATACATTATTGATCAAAAAAGATATTTAAATAGAAATACTAGTTTCGAGCTCCTTTGTACGAGGCGAAAGCTTAAGCTTGGCAACCCTGAGCTAGGGGTGGCTTCATCGATATATACAAACAAAAGCGTAGCAGTGTTTCCCGAGCTTCTGCTAACTTAGTCTTACAACATTTGTCGTACGGTACGGTTGTGTGCTCGTCTGTAAACTAATACCGGATATAGACGACTAAAATTTGCGATACTTTGTGTGGTGCATATATTGGAAAGTGACTGAGCAGTGTTTTACTAGTATTATCCTGATTTATAAAGGTACGTGACTGAGTTTTGTTATTGGATATTAAATAAAATAATTTATGTTATATTTTAGAGGTTATTTAATTGTTTTCCGTAATAGAAACACTTTCAGGTTAATTTTAAGAATATTAAAATGGTGATTTATTAAAAATATTAATTGAATTTAATTAATACATTATTTCAGAGGTTTTTAATTGTTTTGCGTAATAGGAACACTTGCAGGTTAATTTTAAGGATATTTTAACGGTGATTTATTATTAAAAATTATTATTTAAATTTAATGATTACATTTTATATTATATTTAGTTATATGATAGACAGTGTTAAGTTTTGTATATAGATATATATATATTAGTGTATAAAAATATCTTATAGTTTGGTATTATGGGGAAACATTATTTTGAAATTTAAATTTATATAATATAATATATATATATATATATATATTTCAACCGACTTCAAACCAGTGGGATGTTCTTAATTCGATTTTGATATTTTAATATTAACTAATAACATTTTTACCGGTAAACCGATATTGTATATTCTTTTTTTATTGAAACCTAGTTTTTTTCATGAGTTTTTATATAATCAAGATCTTATAAGTATTTTTTAAATTTATTTTAACATGTTTTCTACGACCTCTGTGATCTAGGGGTATTAGCACATCGCTTTACTACCCATGGTCGTGGGTTCTATTCTTCGCACGCTACAAACATTAGTATTCATGAGTTTTATTATTTGTATCGGTCTGGGTGTTTTATTATGTTATGGTTATGTATTACAAAAAAATAATAATTTGAGAATGTTCAAATCAGTTGTACAGTACCAATAATACAAGTTCTTGGTTTTGTTTGGAATTAGATGGCGCTGTGTGATTTCATTTGGGTTATTAGTATTATTATTGTAAATATATATCCCATCAAAGATATAAATGTGAAATGATAGCCGAGTTTAATATTATAATATATGCTTTGATTGTTGACTACTGCCACAAAAGAGGTGAGATCTAAATGGGTGCTGCACTGCGCTCGACCATATTTTAGGGAGCCCAATGACCCGGCACACCACGCCGCCACAAGTCTGGACATTTTAGTGAGCATGACTACTCAAAACACCAGACTACGTCAAAGCTACTTACATAAGATAAAGAATATAAGAAGAAGATAAGATTAAGAATGAATACATTACCATATCCAATATGTCGGATTGTCCACTTCAGGGGCACTGGATATCGCTGCACTGCTGCGGACCCAGAGCTTCTGGACGTGGACAAAGACATAAATATAAATATATGAATTAAATGTATAAAATTGTAATTTACTAACGTAGTTCATAAGTTGTTTACTAATATAATATGGATGGATAAATATCCGAAATAAATGGAATAATAATAATAATAATAAGAATTTGGAAACAGGAAAAAGTTTATATAATATCCATAGTCCTCTCATCTACAGGTATCATACCCAAACACCTACATCATAGCCGGAAACAATTAGATATACAAAAAACATTTTACATCACCCTTCAAAAAGTTGCAATCTTAAATACCTGTCGTACAGTCCGAAAATTTGGTTATAAGGGCAGAGGAAGGCCGAAAAAGAGATGGATGGACTGTGTGAAAGATGATTTGGTAAGAAAGGAAGTAAATAACGCGATGACTGCGAACAGGAATGAATGGAAGAGAAAAACATATTACGCCGACCCCAAATAAATGGGATAAGATAGAAGAAGATGATGATATAATAATGTAATTTAAATAGTTTTTTTCAAAGTCTGAACACAACAATAACAATCTGCTGCTGTAAAAATTGTTATATTCATTTAAATATTGATTGAACTTCGAATTTCTTAAAATATCTAATTTTAGATTTTGCACAAAATTATTTATTCATATAAAACAGTTTAGTGACTATTTTATTTCTTTATAAAATCACCATCAAGTTCAGCTGTCAGCTTCAGTTATAGCTAAAGAGAATGACCTTAACCTTTTACTTAACTGTAAAAATATTTATGTGCTCGATATTTATTTATTTTATTTTATTTATACACATTAATGCATTAGATAAGAAAATATTAATTAACTAGATGTACATGCGACTTCATCCACATGGAATTTAACTTTATTTTTCTAAAATAAATGTAGCTTAAGTCACTCCTTTTACATCAAAAAAGTCCTGTAAATATCGGTCCAGCCATTTCAGAGATTAGCCGGAACAAACAGACAGATCGACAAACAGACGAAAATTATAAAAAATGTTATTTTGGTGTATATATTTATATTATTTTATATTCATATATGCATGCAGTAAAAAACGGTTATTTCAATATTACGCACAGATACTCCAATTTTATTTATATGTATAGATATAAAAATATACATATACAATCATAAGTACAATAGGCGGCCTTATCGCTAATCAATCTTATTAATATCGGTATTAGTTTAGTAAAATCAATTAAATTAAAAAAAAAACATCAGAAAATTTCTAAGGAAAATTGAAATAAAATGAAGCATACGGTTAGACTGGTGTGTCACATGTTTCAGTCAAAAATCAGAAAGTTTCTAAGGATAATTTAAATAAAATAAAGCATACGGTTAGACTAGTGTGTCACATATTTCAGTAAAAAATCAGAAAAATTCTAAGGAAAATAGAAATAAAATGAAGCATACGGTTAGACTGGTGTCACGTGTTTCAGTCAATATTTCTTTGCAACAACAGTACTTTATAATATTACAGGGTTTTTTAATGGTTCATAATGAAATAATGACTTTGCCGTTAGTGGTAATTGGTGGTCATCAGTGGTATATGCTGTATGAGAATTAAAGCAGGTTGAATTAGAAATTAAACAGGATGTTTGATTTAGAATGCTGGTTATTTGGTTCCCGTTATGATCTATCCTCCTACATACTTAGTAATGTATATACCAGTTCTTTTTTTCTTATGGATGATAATGGAATGGTGCATCCGCCTGCGCTAACGGTTTACACCAGTGGAGGATTATAAGATGAACATGAGGTCAGGTAAGTTAGGCGTTAAGGTTAGGCGTGTGGTGTCGCTGTAAGAATAGCACCACCCCCTCTCTTCCCGTGGGTGTCGTAAAAGGCGACTAAGGGATTCATCGACCAGTGGACGGGCAGCAGCGTCCTACTGAGTACCTACCATCATACTGCGATCGCCAACCCGCATGCCAAGCGTGGCGATTATGGCAATATCCCCCCAAATGAATTTACACCCAACAGTCCCCGGCGGCCCCGCTAGTCTTGATCATGGTAGCGGTCATGGAAACGGCGGGGCAGGGGGTGCGAAGAATCTCCGGGTAAGACCAGGCTACCACAAACGGCGACCACTGGCCCTGGCAACATACAACGTTCAAACACTGCGGACCGACGAAAAGTTAATTGAACTGGAGGAAATGTTAGATTGCACTGGCATGTCGTGGGATTATCTGAAGTATATTCGATAGTTGAAATCCGGCAATCTTTTACTTCCGGGAGGGCGATATGTCCCAAGGCGGTGTCGGGTTCCTCGTCCACAAGTCCCTTGTGAATAATGTTATCAAGGTCGAGAGCGTGTCGACTAGGGTAGCGTACCTGATACTCAGAATTACCAAACGGTATTCATTGAAGGTCATCCAAGTGTACGCTCCAACTTCGACGTACTCCGACGATGAGGTTGAGGCTATGTATGAGGATATCTCCAGAGCCATACATAGTACAAAGACTCATTATAACGTTATCATGGGGGACTTTAACGCAAAATTGGGCAAACGAAGCGGTGATGAGCTGAGAGTGGGGCAATTTGGTATCGGTGATCGGAACTTCCGAGGTCAAATGCTGGCCGACTTCATGGAAAAGGAGAACCTCTTTATGATGAACTTCTTCTTCAGGAAGCCGGAACACCGGAAATGGACGTGGATTAGTCCCGATGGTGCCACAAAAAACGAGATAGATTTCATCTTGTCAACGAGAAGACAGATTTTCTGTCTCTGTGATCAATGCCTTCAAAATTGGGAGCGATCACCGGATGGTAAGAAGTAGATTGAATCTGAATCTGAAACTCGAACGATCCCGACTGATGAAATCTATGCTCCGCCCTACACCTATACAGATCCAAAAATTTCAGCTAGAATTGCAAAATCGAAAGCCTTGGTGACTGCGTTGACGTGGACGATTACAACAACAGGTGTGTGGAAACTGTCCGTTTCAGTCTAAGCACTTCAAAACCCGCCGCGCAGAAAGAACCGGAAAAATATCTATCTCTACCCTCAAATTGATGGATGAAAGGCGAAGTATGGTCCTGCAGTCTCCGACTGACGTTTCTCAGTATCGGCAACTTAGCAGGCAGATCTCTAAGTCCTTGACTCGTGACTTACGCCACTTTAACACAAATTGTGTAAAGGAGGCTATTGAGAGAAACAAGGGCTCAAAAGTCTTTAACAGGAATCTGGCTGCCGGACAGAGCCAGCTGACGCGACTTAAGACGGATGACGGCAGGATCGTTTCGTCTAAACCCGAACTTTTGAGGGAAATTGAGAAGTTCTATGGACAGTTATACACGACAACAACCTGTTAACAACATGGCGAAAGACCCTAGAGCCAAATTAACCCGACACTATACCGAAGATATCCCGGACGTCAGCCTGTACGAGATTGGTATGGCTCTTAAACAACTTAAAAACAACAAGGCGCCGGGCGATGATGGAGTTACTGCTGAGCTTCTGAGGGCTGGAGGTAGACCTGTTCTACGAATCCTCCAGAAGCTATTCAACTCCGTCATCCTCGAGGGCAAAACGCCTCAAGCATGGCAAAGGGGTGTGGTGGTTCTGTTCTTCAAGAAGGGAGACAAATCGCTTCTGAAGAATTTCAGACCCGTAACACTGCTGAGCCATGTTTATAAGTTGTTTTCGAGAGTCATCACGAATCGTCTCGCGCGCAGGTTTGACGACTTCCAGCCTCCCGAACAAGTCGGGTTCCGAAAAGGCGTCAGTACCATAGACCACATTCATACGCT